GAAGTACTGTGTGGAGGTTACCATGGCTGTGCCCTGTGGACTGAGTGATACCAGGGAGCCCGGGGGGAGGGAGCAGAACCCACTTTGAAACCGTGAGGGGCTGCTGAGCCAGCGTGCAGGAGGCTGCTGAGAGGCTGATACAGATGAAATCAGGCTTTGAGGTAAAACTCAGCAGATTTCACTTTGGGGTCTTAGAGACTTGGGTTCCAATTCTGTATCAGTCAATAACTCTGCTCCGGTGTTTCCCACATCAAAATCAACCCATCCCATGTCTATCATAGCCCCACGTTAACCTCCAGCTGTCACTTCTTTTCTGGGCTCTTTTTCATGGGAAATGGACATCCTGAATGGGTTGTCTGTGGTCCTCTCCACTCCTTCCTGGTGTCATCTGGATGGCTGCCCCTCTGCTGGACTAGGACTGTTCTTGTGAAACTCTCCGTTGCCTCCAGTGGCCACGCCCAGCAGACTCCTGTGATTTCCTTATCTCTGCAAAGCCTGAGCAGCCTTCAACTCTGTTTGCCAGTCCCTGTCCCTTGAAATGCTCTCTGTCCCTTCTGGGTTTTCCTCTTCCCCTTGGTCTTCCTTTTCAGTTCTCTTTTCTGGCTTTGACTCTTTCTCTCAACCTTTAATTGATGGAGTGACCCAAGACACTCTGATTGTCTTCTCTTAATCTGCTCTCTTTCTGCCGGAGTCACCATTAGGTTCCATGGCTGAGGAACATCATTCACACCAGGTGACTTCTTCATCAGTCTCTTCAGACTGATGTTCCCCTAATCCCCAGGCTCAGCATTCCACTGTCCTCAGGAACCTCTGGGTGTCTGAGGGCACTTCACACTCTTTCAACATAGAATTTAGACTTTTTCAGTTCCAGCACAGTGGGTAACTCTGTTTTAAACAGGCCAGCCTGGCTTGCAACACCGGCCCTTTGCTCTTACAATTCCCTCTGCCTGGAAATTTCTTCTCCCCAATACCCACTTGCTTGTTATTAAGGTCTCAGACCAGATGTCACTCCTGAGAAGTCTTCTGGTTGCACCATTTAAAGTAGCCTTCTAGACTCTTCATTTACCCAGTTGTGATTCTCTCAACATTGGTTGTTATTTTGTGAAATTTCTTGACTTTTCATTTATTTGTTTAGTGTTTTGCTCACCTCTAGAAAGCAAACTTTGAGCCAGTGGGGACTGTCTTGCTTATTGCTGTATCGCAGCACCTTGAGTAGGCTTTTGAGCCTCTTAGGTGCTTCATAAGTATTTGATGAATGATTAAATGAAGCCACTTAACTTCTCTTGTCCTTGATCTCTAACTCTTTGAGAATGGATAATTAGTAAGTGGGAACTGTGTCTATTTAAAAAAAAAATTGATCACTGAATTGGAGGAAAGTTCTCCATCTAAATCATTTCAGAAGCAACACAGTTTTGTTTTTAAGATGAGGGATTAGAAGTTCAGTTATTTCCTTTTAAATTCTTATTTGATCCATTAAAATACTCCAAGGACCTGAGAAAAATTGTAAACCACAAGGATTGGGAAAATGAGATAAGAAAGAAGAACAGATGAGAAAATGTTCCGGAAGGTCAGCAGTTGGAGGACTGGGAAAAGGTGGTGAGGGCCTCTCTGGGTGCAGAAAGAAGTGAAGGTAGTGAGCAGGTCAGTCCATAGCCCCCGGAGGTCCAGGACTTGGAGGTACCAGCTACTGCAAAGGACAGAGCTGAGAACATGGAAAGGGCTACAAGTTTCTGTATGGAGTGGCTGGACCCAAATGTCCCAATTTTCACCTGTTTCTTCCAAGATATTATATTCCTCCAGGACTAGGCCTAGAAGGAGATGGGGAGTTGAAAGGGGAGGTTTGGGGCTTGGACTAATGGGGCACATGGGCAGAGCAGGAGAGAGCCAAATAGGAAAGATGGAGATTCAATAAAAATCTGAACTCAGAGGAGGGGGCCAATAGCCAAGGTTACCTCTAGGGTATGCAGGGCTAGCAAATAATTTTTTGCAAGGTCTTTCTTCATGTTACTAATTAGGGTCACATAAAATCAGCCCGTTAGCTCTACTCTGGCAACTGAAACTTATGTGAACTTGTGTTAAAAATTCTATATTTTTTGACACAATCTATCACTTGTTAGGCCACTTTTTCAAAGCAGGATCCAGGCTGACTTCACTGAGTGTGAATTCTGGAGTTCCCTGGGGCATCTGGTCAACCTGTTGCCAGGTGGTCGGAGAGAGGGTTAGAGTGCTCCATGAAGGGAAGAAACAGGAACCAGGATTCAGACAGGACCTCATCTGGGCACAGAGCAGCTTTCCTGAAAAACTCTGCTGATTTTCTCAATTCTAGGGGGACTATTTCTGGATATACCTTGCAGGGAGGGCTTGGTGAGGACATTTACAAAAAAGGCACTTCAAAGCATAGGCTTCCATGAAGCATGGGGCCCAGGTTAGAGCCCTCCTGGCTTGGGTGAAAGGTTAGTCCTATCTGTAGGCTGCTCCCCACTGACTCCTGGAATATTGGTCATCAGACATCACCCAGGAAAGAGAGGAGAAGACCCTGAATATTCTCACAGACAAGATTCTAGATTCTTACATTTGCGGATGGCTCAGTGAATGACTAGTTCCTTATCCCTTTGCTCTAGAGTGAGGTCCACCTCTCAGGGAAGCCTGGCCACACAGTGAGCCTCCCATTCAGGTTTTACCTTTCTCTTGAATATGAATGGACGACCAGTGAGTATCAGACATAGGAGGAAAGTCTCCCAGGGAAATGGTGGCAGGCACCAAGTCAAACAAATAAAAAACAAAAACACAGAGGAAATAAACCTAAATCACAGAGAGGGCAAAAAAAAAAAAAGCCTCAGAAAGATGAGCTACTGTATTTCTGAAACAAATACAGATGCAAAGAGGAGAAAGGGGCAAGAAAAGGATAGAATAGAGGGCTTGGAAATTGCAAATGCCATAGCTGAAATAAACTCACTAGAAGGTTTGGAAGATAAAGTCAGTGACATCAGCCAGGGAGAAGAGCAAAAAGAACAAGATGTGGAAAACAAGAAATGATAAAGCACTTAGAAGATCAACCAACTCAAGGAGACCAGCAGTGACAAATAGGAGTCCTATAAAAAGCAAAAGAGGAATGAGAGGAGAAGAAATGATGAAGAAATCCTAAGCAAAGATGTATTGCACTGGACAGACAAGAGACTCCACACTGAAAGCACTCCAAGTGTTCCACATCACGGATGGGAGGACATCCACACGAAGACACAACATTTAAAAACACCCAGAACATCAGCGATAAAGAGACCCTGAAGGCTTCCAGAAAGAAAAATTGATACCCTATGTGGAAAAATGACAATCAAAGTGGCAGCACCGAATGCTGGGAGACAGGGAAATAAAGTCTTTAAAATTCTGCAGGAAAAGAATTTTTAATCAAATTCTTATGCTCAGCCAAGTTAGCAGTTACAGGTGAGGTTCACATGGCGATATTTTCAGACCAGTAAGGACTCAGAAAATGTTTCTGTGCATGCTTACCTGAGAAGCAGTATGAGACATGTTATCCCAAAGCCAGGGAATGGCCAACAAAGACACAGGGCTCCATTTCAGGGAAGGCTGAGAGGGGGGTCCTGGGAAGATACATGGAGAGGAGATCTAAGCACCTTAGGTACTGGGATTGGACAAGAAGGAAAAATGGCATGCAGGGCTGTATTATCTATTATAAGAAAGAACACCTGGTTAAATATAGAGAAATATTTAGAATTTCAGTATTCAATTTCAAGAAAAAACAATTAACAACTCAGGAAAAAAAACAAAAGAGAAAAAGCCATCATATTTCCATATTTGACTGAATTTAAGATGCTATTAATTATAAAAACATGTCATTATTTTAAGAAGAAAAAAACTGTTGCCTATTAAAAAGACAAGTTGTAAGACATGTAAATTTTAGTGATTACTAAAAAGTTAAAAAAAAAGTACTTTTTAGAATTGGTGAAAATAGCACCCTCTTTGGCTTTGCGATGAACTATTTGATATTGTTATTGATTTAACTACAAATTGCAATGAGAATTCAGTTTTCTACTTTTGTTTTTGTGATGCTAGGGAGTGAACCCAGGGCCTCATGCTATCCAAGTGTCTACCACTGAGCTACATCCCTAGCACCTTTTTTTTTTTTTGAAATAGGGTCTTATTAAGTTGCTGAGACTGGCTTTGAACTTGTGATTCTCCTGCTTCAGCCTCCTGAGAAGCTGATATTACAGGCATGTGCCACCATTCCCAGCAAAACAAATACAATTGCAACTTTTTTTTTTTTTTTTTTGCAGTGTTGAACACTGAACCTAGGGCCTGTCACATGCCTAGGCAAGTGCTCTACTATTGAGCTGCACACCCCAGTCTGCTATTTTGCATTATAAGCCTTTCTAAGCTCATGATGCATGTTTAACATATACATGCTATTTTCATACAAATAAAAGAAACATTCACGTGGATGTATGCACATGCACACATGTGTGCGCACAGACACACACAAACACATACACACACACACACAGATACACACAGGCACACACAGACCTTTCTGGAACTTGAAGGTGAATTAGAAGTGGGAGATTCAGGGCTCCTAAACCTATTCACTTTTGGAAATACCTTTTCCAGATTTAAGCTTAAAGCATGTTAATATCCTGCTTAATGGGCCTCCAGGAAGACTAGGTGGCCCTCCTGTCCCTTCCTTCTTTCTGCCCCAAATGAAAGTAATCCAAGGATGATCCAAGACCTCTGATCTTTGCAGAAAAGCTTTTGGCCCAGAGTCCTCTGATCTTTGTAGAAAACTTCAGAATTTTCCTATGGCTCCACATATTTTAACCCATTTGATTCTTACCAAGTGTAAACTTCACTATTTCAACTGTGTAGGGAATGAGACTGGAGTGGCCACTACTGTCCTATCCCATCCTGAGATAGCTCAGCCCTGACCTACTGCAGATTCAAAGAGATACTTCTTCATTCTAATGTTATCTGTCTCCATGATGTTTTAGAGGAAAGAGGAAGAAGAGAGGAAGCGAGGAGAAGAGCAGATTCGCCTTCAGGAGGAACAGAGAGCGAAGGAGCTTTACTGGTCGCTGAAGCAAGCCCAGCTGCGTTGCCAAGCCAGCGAGAAAGAGGAGCAAGAGTGGGAAGAACAGTGTGAGTTGAGCTTGGTTCCTGGGGCCAGGAGACCCCTGCCTTCCCCACCCTCGCTCCACTCCTCCACTGTTCATTGGCTTAGCCATCATTTTAGTTCATTCACATTTCACAAATCTTTCCCAGGGCTGACCATGTGCATGATCTTGCTAGGTATGACCCAGAGCAGAACAGTGAGTGTCATGCTTCAGGAGCTAATATGTCCATTCTGGAGATTTCTTACGTTAAAAAAATTAAATGCTACTTTTACTGAGTTGCCAGTAATTTCCCAGATCTATGCCTGGTATTATGGTTTAGTTTGTGGCATTCCCCAAAAGCTCACATGTGAGACAATGCAAGAAGGTTTGGAGGAGAAATGATAGGGTTATAACCTTAAGCTAATCAGTGAATTAATTCCTAGTAGGATTAACTGAGTGGTAACCAAAGGCAAGTAGGTTGTGGCTGGAGGAAGTGGTTCATTGGGGGCATGGCTATTGGGTATATATTTTGTATCTGGAGAGTGGAGTCTCTCTCTCTGTGGTTATTAATCATCATGTGAGCTGGTTCCCTCTGCCACACTCTTCCTCCAGGATGCCTGTTCATCTTGAACCTGGAGGAATGGAGCCAGCCACTTATGGACTGACACCCCTGAAACTGAGGGCTCCCAAATAAACTTTTCTTCCTCTGTAGTTGTTCTGGTCGGGTCTTTCAAGTCGAAGAAGTGAAAAAGATGAATAAAACACCTGGGGATCCAGAGATAAGGAATCATGGTCCTTATAAAGGAGGGACTCACCAATCAGAGCCAAGATAGGGAGCTTTGAGGGAGGATGTACTACATACCACTGGAGCACTCAGTGGCTGCCCTGGTGGGGTTCCAGAGGGTGAGGCATGACATGAGGCTTGTTAGTTGCCTAGGAATTACTGAGGCAAAGAGAGCCCTTTAGATGGAGGCCCAGCATGTGCAAAGGCATGGGGACAAAAGGAATGTGGCAGAAGTGTGGGGTGACTGAAGCTTGGAGAGTTTCAGGAGTGAGAAGTCAAGTGAGAAAGAGAAGGTGGAGCCAGGTTTGAAGAGTGTTTTTTTTTTTTTTTAAAAAAAAAAAAAACGAGACAGGGTCTTGCTATGTTGTCCAGACTGGCCTTGAACTCAAGAACCTCCTGCCTTAGTCTTCCCAGTAGCTGGGATTTCAGGCACATGCTGTCATGCCCAGATGGATCATCTTTTGAAATATAAAAAATTTTAATTTTGATGAGGTCAATTTATCTATTTTTTCTTTTGTTCTTGTGATTTGTGTCACATCTAAGAAACTAGTTGCCTAATCCAGAGTCAAAATGACTTATGCCTATCTCTCTTCTAAGATTTATGGATTTAGCTCTTACATTTAGGCCTTTGATCCGTTTTGAGTTCATTTTTGTGTGAAACAGGTTCCTACTTGACCTAGTTGTCCAAGCACCATTTATTGAAAAGATTATTCTTTCAAGGGTCTTGGCACACTTGCAAAAATCAATTGACCAAAAATATAAGTATCTATTCCTGGACTTTCAATTCCATTCTATTGATCTACATACTTGTTTTTAGGTCAGCACCACACAGTCATGATTCCTGTAGCTTTGTAGTAAGTTTTTAAATTGCAATGTATGAAACCTACATTGTTGCTCTTTTTCAGAATTATTTTTTGTCCCTGTTCATATGTATTTTAGGACCGACATCAATTTTGGCAGTAATGCCATCTGGGATTTCAATAATGATTGCATTAAATTTGTGTTCAATTTGGAAGTGTTGTCATCCTAATGATATTTGGTATTCCACTCCATGTATATAGAATGCCTTTCTATGTATTTAAGTCTTATTTAACCTCTTTCATAATATTTTGTGGTTTTCAGAGTACTTTGTCCTTGTTTTGATCCCTTGTTAAATATCTTTGTTGCTATTGTAAATGGAATTAAGTTTTTAATTTTATTTTTGGATTGTTTATTGATAGCACATAGAAATGCAATTGACTTTTGTGTACTGATCTTGTATTGTGAAATCTTACTAAGCTTTTTTATGAGCCCAAATATATATATATATATATATATATATATATAGTGGTTTCCTTATATTTTCTATATAAAAGATAGTTTCATACAAGCAGAGATAGTTTTACTTCTTTCTTTTCAGTCTGGATGCCTTTGATTTCTTTTTCTTGCTTAGTTGCTCTGGCTAGAGCTTCTAATGCCATGTTGAATAAAAGTGGCAAAAGTGGGTATCTTTGTCCCTGATTTTGAGAGAAAGCTTTCAGTCCTCTTTTGCCATTAATATGATGTTGGCTGTGGGTTTTCCATACATAGCATTTATTGGGTTGGGCAAGGTCCATGTTTTCCTAGATTGTTGAGTGTTTTTATCAGGAAAAAGACTGGATTTTGTCAAATACTTTTTCTACATCTGTTGAGATGATTATATGTTTTCGTTCTTTATTCTACTAATATGGTACATTCCATGCTGAGTTTCAGATGTTGAATCAATCTTGTATTTCTGGGATAAATTCCACTTGTCTGTAGTATACGAAACCTATTGTGTGTTGCCAGATTTGGTTTGCTACAATTTTGTTGAGGATTTTTGCATCTGTATTCATGAAGGATTTTGGTCAGTAGTTCTTGTGATATCTTTGTCTGGCTGTGGTATCTGGGTAATACTAGCCTCAAAGAATGAGTTGGGAAGTGTTCATATCTATCTTTCTTCCTTTTTTCTTTTGGTACCATTGATTGAACCCAGGGGCTTTTAACCAGTGAACCACATCCCCAGTTTTTTAAAATATTTTATTTAGAAACAGGGTCTAAGTTGCTTAGGGCCTAGCTAAGTGGCTGAGGATGGCTTTGAACTTCTACCTCAGCCTCCTGAGCTGCCGGTATTACAAGTGTGTGCCACCATGCTGGGTTCATGCCTATCTTTTTATGTTTTTTGATTAGTAATTTAGTTTCTTTGCTTGTTCTGAGCCTTTTTTTCCCTTGAATAAATGTTCCCTGAATTGCTGAAAGCCTTTTGTTAATTTCTAACGTTTGGAGAGAGTTGGTTCTGATATCTTGCCAGTGTTCTTATTGTTCATAGAGGAGAGGATTTTCAGAAGTCCTTAATTCACCTTTTCTACTAATACCCTCTCAACTGATATATATCAATGCAGTGCCAATTCGAAAATACCAAGTTTCTAGGGCAGATTCAGAGACATAATGGGGCTTTTGGAGAGGTAGTTGGGTGGAAAGTATTTATTTTTACATTGAATATTTAAATTTTAAGTGACATAGCACATAATTAAGTGTAGAAAAGGAATAAGTCAGAATTGGATAAAATGAAAAGTTAATTAACTTTTTAAAATTTAACTTTAATTTTATATTTAATTAATTTTTTTCACCATGAGGCAGTTGCGGCGTTTAAGACAACCGCGTTCTTCCTGTTTCTGAGCACCGATGTCTTTGACCAGATGTTCCTAGGCCTCTTGGGCCCTGGTAGCCCCGTGAGCCTGAGCCCAAAGCAGACTCCTCACAGAAGTCTCAGTGCCAGCGAGGAGTGAACCTCATGTCTCATGTCTCTTTTTCCTAATTTTTTACTGTAATATTCCCAAGAAATCTTGAAAAATGGGCTATCAGAGTTCTCCAAGGTCCCCTTATGGGTTCATTTATTCTTTAGCTGGCTCAGTAAAACAGATGTGAGCAAGTAGCTGTGGTATGGGGCCATGATCCCCTGGCATCCTGCCCACTTCCTGTGGCTTTAGGGACCCCTCTGTGACTCTTTGACTTCCTTGTACTGTATTTGTGGATTCCTTGTTCAGGAAAGTATCCTTTCATCTGCTGACCACTTCTGTGACTATAGGAGCAAGCCATTTTCTCCCTTCAGAGCCAGTATTACAAATGCAAATACGGTGTCCAAACGTCCTTTTTGTTTTTATCAAGGCATATTCTGAGGTGATGCCTCTCAGGGGCTGAGACACAGGAGAGGAGAATGTTCTGTGCACTGACTGATAACTGCTAGGCAGGTGTGCTTAAACTGTTCAATGCCCATTCACATAAGAATTGCAGGTTTTTTGTATGTTTGTTTTGCTTTATTTTGTACAGGGGATTGAACACAGACAGGGGTGCTTTACCACTGAGCTATATTCCCAGTCCTTTGTTTTTATTAATTCACTTACTTTGAAACAGGGTCTTGCTAAGTTGCTGAGCATCGAAGTGGCTGAGGCTGATCATGAATTTGCAATCTACCTGTCTCAGCCTCCCAAATTGCTGGGATTACAGGCATTCACCACCATATTCATCTTGGGTTGGAGTTTTAAAAGAATTTCTAAGTATTACTACAAATGGGTGTTAACTAAATTCAACTGAATGCCTTTTTTTTAAAACTTTTCATTGCTGTGACAAAATATCTGAGAAAAATAGCTTAAAAGAGGAAAGGTTTATTTTGACTCATGGTTTCAGAGTTTTCAGTCCATGTTCACCTGGCTCCATTGCTTCCATACCTTGATGAGGCAGCACTTCATGGTGGGTAGCATATGGTGGAACAAAGCAGCTCACCTCATGGTGGACAGGAGGAAGAAAGAGAGGAAGGGGAGGGGGACAATATACAGCCCCAAATAACCCACTCTCTTTAACTGGGTCCTAAGTTTCTATGATCTCCCCAAAGCTTTACTGAGTAACATTTGGCATCTGAGCCTTTGAGAAACATTTGGCATTCAAACTGTAACAGCCCCAAACCCTGAGAGTTCATAGAATTCACAAAGATTTGGGCATTTAATTGCTCATATGCCTAGAACAGCCTCAGAGCGGAGTGGGTGTTGGTATTTTTGTTGGAACTCTTTACTGATAGGAACTGAAACAGAAGCTCAGACTCAGGCATTTTTCAGGATTGTGCACAAACACAGGCTTTCTTTTTCTCTACTCCTGGGTGTGTATTCTGGCCTGTGGATTCAATGTCTTCCAAAAGCAGGACGTAGGAAGGACGTCTCTGGCCATCTGCCTCTCAGGGCATCTGGGGGTCTGTGCACAGGAAAGAAACC